TATATTTTTTATACTGTGTACTGAACCCAGGGACATGCTACCACTGAGCTGCATCACCAGCCCCGTTTTTGAGTCAGGGTTGAGTTGCTGAAGCTGACCTTGAACTCGAGATCCTCCTGCATTACCTCCTGAGTTGCTGGTATTACAGGCATACACCACCGTGCCTGGCTGAGTATTGCCATCTTAAGAATATTAAATCTTCTCACCCATGAGATGTTTTTTCATTTAATCAGATTTTTTTTTTTTTGTACCAGGGGCACTTAACCACATCCCCAGCCCATTTTTGAATTTTATTTAGAGACAGGGTCTCACTGAGTTGCTTAGCACCTTGCTTTTGCTGGGGCTGGCTTTGAACTCTCAATCCTCCTGCCTCAGCCTCCCAAGTCACTGGGATTACAGGTATGCACCACCGCACCCTACTAGTTAGATCTTTAATTTCTTCTTATTTTTACCTTTTAATGTAGTGCTGAGGTTAGAACCCAGTGCCTCGCACGAGCAAGGCAAGCGCTCTGCCACTGAGCCACAACCCCAGCCCAGATCTTTAATTTCTTTCAATAGTATTTTATAGTTTTCAGTATATAAATTGTATACTCCTTTTGCTAATTTTATATCAAAGTGTTATATTTCTTTTGTTGATATTACAAATTGTGTATTTCATTTTTGGATTGTTTATTGCTAGTGATGAGAAATACAATATATTTTTGTATACTATTCTTGTGTTCTATAGCCTTGCTGAACTTGTTTATTAGCACTAATGGTTTTGTTTTTTTTTTTTGTGTGTGTGTGTATGTCTCTGAGAACTTTCTGTATACAAGATCATGTTATCTGTAAATGGATCTTTTCAATCTGGATGCCTTTTATTTCTTTTTCTTGTCTAATTTTCCAAACTATTACTTTCATGTGTGTTAAATAGAAGTGGTGGGAGTAGATGTCCTTGTTTTGTTCCTGATCTCAGGAGGAAAGCACCCAATCTTTCACAATTAATTATGATATTTGCTGTGAATTATTCATAAATGCCTTTTGATAATTAGCACATTGAGGAAGTTTCCTTTTACTTCTGTTATGTTAAGCTTTTTTTTTTTAAATCATGAAAGCATTGAATTTTATCAAATGTATTTTCTGTGTCTTTTTGAGATAATGTTTTTGTTTTTGTTTTTGTGGTATACTGGGATCAAACCCAGGGCTTTGCTCATGATAGGCAAGTGAGCTACAATCCTCAACCTGTTTTTTCTTTATTTTATTAATAGCTTGTATTAAATTAATTCACTGTTTGATGTTAAACCAACTTTATATTCCTAGGATAAATCCCACTTGGTCATGCTGTATAATCCTTTTGTCTATATTGCTGGATTGGTTTGCTAGTATTTTGTTGATGATTTTGTGTCTGTATTCTTAAGAATATTGATCTGTAGTTTTCTTGTGATGTCTTTGTCCAGTTTTGTTATTTGGGTAATGCCTAGACAGTCTGACTTCTGTCCCTCACTATTCTACCCCAACTTCCTTTAATCCCCAACCCCCATGTCTTACCAGGCTTTCCCAGGTGGTGACTACATCTGCTACTGGGGCAATCACTGACATGAACTCAGTCTGTACTTTGGACTGTGGTCATCATCCCCCTCTCCATCCAAACGGCTAGATGAATCAGGGCTTGCCTAAGGCCTTGGGTTTAATACCCAGCTCCCCCCCCAAAAAAACTAGGTGCAATGGCCCCCACCTATAATCACAGCTATGCAGGAGGCTGAGGTATGAGGACAACAGTTCGAGGCCAGCCTCAGAAACTTAGACCCTATTTCAAAAGAAATAGGGGTATGTAACTCAGCAGTAGATGCCCTGGGGTTCAATCCCCAGTACCTGGAGGAAAAGAAGAAAGATAGAAAAGATAGAGAAAAGAAAGAAAAAATGGGACTCCTCACAGGAGAATGCTCTGGGATCAGGGCTGAGGAAGAGGTAGGGAAGGCAGCAGGCTCTGCAGGCAGACAATTATCCTGGATTCAGAGATTTGGAGACCAGTTGTGGTCTCTTGACATACAGCCCACTCAACAACTCCCTCCCCTAGAGACTGCTTTCCGGCAGTCTTGGCCCCAGCTCTAACCTCATTTTCCATCTACTCCTTCCATCTCATCCAGCCATCACGGGCTTCTGTTGATTTCTTTGTTTCTTTCCAGCCTTGGGACCTTTGCACTCACCATTCCCTGGGGATGGAACCCACTGCCCTACATTTGTTCATGATGTTCTTCCCTTTCAAGCTTTAGTTCAAATGTCACTGTATTAGGTTTCCATTACTGCATAATAAATCACTACGATTTTAGCAGCTTAAAACAATACCCATTTATTATCTCAGTTCTGCAGGCCATAAGTCCAGGCAAACTCTGCTGTGTACTCTATTTAGGTCTCACAAGGCTAAGTCAAGGGTGTTGGCCAGCCTGGGATCTTATCTGGAAGTTCTGGTGTAGAATTCACTTCCAGGCTCATCCAAGTTATTAAACAAACTCAGTAACAAGCTGGGCCCAGCAGCACATGCCTGTAATCCCAGAGACTGAGGCAGGAGGATCACAAGCTGGAGGCCAAGCCTCAGCAA